CGTTTCCTCCGTTCTCGGAGTTCCTCGCGTTCAGCACAAACCGACACGATGGTGCCGCAAATGACGAACGGCGAGGTGGAGACCGGGAAAATGGACGAGTCCGTTAGGTATTTCAATTACCTGAGGACTCTGGCGGATCTCACAGCCTTGGCCAGCATCATGGCGGTGCAGGTAATTTGAGGATTATATTTGAATCTTGGTCCGCTTCCGGGATGATGCTATCCCAGCGAATGTTGACTTCTCCCGCGGGAGCAAACCGGTATATCTGGTTAATTTTGAACTGGATACAGTTAACGTTTCTAGTTGTAGGGGAAGATAAATAAGAATAGACACGTATAGAAAGAAGAAAAATAAAAAATAAAAATAATAATATAAAAAATATGTAAGATTTTAAATCAGCGAAAATTGTAGATTTATTCCACGATGTTGAAATCATATTTTGAATCATATTTTTTGATATTTACATTGATTACATTGATTACCGCAAATAGCTTGTTAGTAATTATCATACTTTTGTTATAATTTAATCGCAATCGTTAATTGGGCGAATTCGTTAATTAAACCAGGTACATAATCGAGGAAGTAATTACGAGAGAAAACGCAATATGCTGATGTGTATCTACGATATCTGATTTTATTAACGTGAATCCTTGTTAGATCTCGCCGCCGTGACCATCTGCCATAAATTAGGCAAATAAAAACGTCACGCGATTTCGAAACGCGATCGATCGCACGAGGACGTTCGTTTACCGTCGTCGTACGCAACTAACGCATGTCGCGAGCGAGGTTAACGAACGGGGTTGATGAAACCATCCAGCGACGCATTTTCATCTGAATCATTTGACCTGAATTCTAAATTTCGTCGAAATGCCAGTAATGCGAATAAACGATAGTACGCGTCGCGCGATAGCCACACTCATTGTCCAATTATAGATCGCTTTATCGATAATCTCACGTGCCGTCTAATAGCTGTCAAACTTGCCAATACATCGAATAATCTTATCTATATCACTTGAAGTTTCTGCGAAAGTAGTCTTTCGCAACTCTCGAGAAGCTAATATTATCTCGGTAGAGAAGAGGAGGCAGGGAGGGAGGGATTTCGATTTGCGCGGCAAATTGCGCGATTAACGAGTGATACGATACATTATTGATTCTGATTGCGCGGGAAGCGCAGAATCCGTTTATCTGAAGACAGGTGTAGAACGAGATTGTAAAGATTAATTGATCGTATCACTTCTCGGGAGTCGTCTTTGAGCTTTGTCCAAGAATCTGATATCGATGCACGGGTCGAGGATTGAGCCATTGCTTGTCACGTGATTGAAAATAAAAGTCGCGAAAAGTTGAAGGCGCGACTAGAGATAGACGGCGGAGATCGATAAAAAAAAAACTGGCACACGCCGGGTGTGATTGGCCACAAAGGATCGAACAAATGGCAGATTACACGGTCGCCAAACTCGAGATATTGGCAGATAAGGATATATCGTGGGCTCAAGCAATTAACGTCGAGTTTAATTAATGCCAACTCACGCGCGTCATAACGAGACCGGGACGGCTTGTAGTTTCAGTGTTGTCCCCGAACGGACACCGTGCCGATGCGCCATGTGTCCAGATATATACATATATTTTCGTAATTTAATGTTATACTTTCGTATACATCTTATGCTTACGAATAAAGGAAAGTACTCGCGTCCCTTATGTAAGTTTACTCGATGTAACGTAGTCGCTTCGGACCGACATTCCTGGAGAGTTAACGATCGTCTTGTTTTCGTAATGCAGCGAAGGCCTCATTTTTAACTTTGTGATTGTACGAGAAAGCATTAGAGGAGAAAAGAGAGAAAGTTTTGCGATTGTATAAGACGCTTAGAGGAGAGAAGGAAAGAATTTTGTACTTGACTAATAAGCAAATTGGGATGTAATCTTAATATGACCAATGGCTAGAGAGAAAGGGTGATCTGAGATTAATGGGAAGAGAGATTAGCATGTTCGGGTTTCAAAGAAAATGAATCACGCGAGACAATGGTGTCACCACTATCACGAACGATTAATAAAAACTGCATGTGTCAACTGCTAAGGAGCGACAACAACGCGGTCTTGACCTTTTTGTGACATTTCAATGAAAGTTCATTGATAATTATGGAAAAAAAAGGTGACTCGCAAATAGACGTAGTGACGTTGATGTCGTCGATTAATCCACCCTTAATCCACCCTTAATACAGAATTTGTAAAAGAAAAAAAAGAAGCAGAGACGGGAATTGCATCTTACTTTCCCGCTGGAAAGCACGCGATATTGTTAAGCATCCTATCTTGAAAATTTAATCATTTCAATACGTAATACAATCGATCTTATCGCATTTTCGCATTTTATCTGATCATCATGCGGTTTCAATTACGTTACGACAACGTGCGATTTTTTTTACTGACGTCACTCTCGGTAATTTTCCAGAACGCCCGCAGTGATCTCGCGCGTCGTGCGACAAACAAGATTTAATTAAAGATTTACCAAACTTAAAATGTATAAATGATTGATTTGACGCATCTCTACATCTTCACGTGATCTCGAGATGCTGCAGGGATTCTCTTTAGCGCGCTAAACGTCAAATCGGACAACGGATTGTCTGATTGCATTACTTACAAAAGCGGGAGAGATCGTCACGCGCGAGAGAGGAGCATCCCGCTTCTCTCGCTGCAGCGTAACGCGCTAGAAATTATCGCGGAGGGAGATATATATATAGTCTGCAAATAGTACTGAATTTATGGCGGCTTTTGCTCGCGAAATCTCTCGACGTGACTACCCGAAACGAGATTGCGCGAGCTGTTAGTTTCGCGACATAGCGCTCACGGCGACGTATCGCTTCGTCGTTGTTAAACGACGACGACGACGACGACGACGACGACGACGACGACGACGACGACGACGACGACGGGTCTCGATCTTCGCAGGGGCCAGGATCCGTCGCAGCTAGAAAAATCCTATTTCTGCATCCGAATGGAGTGCATTACCGCGCGCGTAGCTCGCGCTGAGCGGAACGTAAGTGCGCCAATTTATTATTCGTGTACGTCACGCGAGCGCACGTTTTACTTTGTTGCAGTTTTCTCCCAGTCGACCCACTTAAAGCCTCGCGAAATCCTCGTTATCTTTATGGCTGCTGTGTCTCGCGCTGAGGAAGCACGTCACGTACGGAGACGCATTGTAATAAACGTCACGCCGATATTTTTATCGGGGCGAGCAATTTCGCGCCTTTCGCGTGAATCGCGATAATGATCACTCCCCTTTCCAAGTGTCTCGACAACAAATCGTCGAGAGTTATATGACAAAACGTTATATCGACTTATAAGGAACCTCGAGATTGATTGAGTATTTCAAAGGTACGGATAATACTGGGCTTCTTTCTTTGGGAAAGTTGAAAGGTGTGAAGTGTAACGTGTAAAATTGAAAGAATGAATATTAAAGCATCTCCGGAGCAGAGATCTCCGAGTCAATCTGACACGCCTCTTTTGTGTTTCTTGTCTTTTACAAGACTGTTAGAATTTCCCCCTTTTCTTCCTTTGTATATTCATTACTCGAAAATATTTTCCAAGATCTAATTGTTGGACTTATTACGTTAATTGCATTACTGCAAGCATATGTTAGACAAAAGAAATAATTGCCGTAGAAAATTTATATTGATAGAGTATGGCAATATATTATCTATACTTCCCTTTATCACTCGTTCCCGATAATTATAGCTATATATAATAAGCAGACTGTCTCACAATAATTATACGCTAGTATAATAATAATTATACTAGCAAATCCGATAAACGCGAGGCGTCTATTTTTATCGAAAGAGGGTCAAACGATAAAGTTCAGCGGTTTCAATACGATAAAGTTCAAAATATGATACAAAGGGAGACTCGTGCGGGTG